ATGATGGACCCAACGAGGAAGGGAGGTGCAAACTCTATCAAACTTTGCGGATAATTTTCACGATACGTTGCGATTTGCTTAGCCAAGATTAATAATAATGTATCTGACAGCTTCGTAGAATTCGGAATTCTCTACAAAAATCTATGGGGGATCAAACGCTTAAGATCCCACAGCAAAACATAATCTGAAAGCAAACGGTGGTAGAGGTGTGTCGTTGAAGCGGAATCGCTTATATAGCCCTCAGCAAGATAGCGCATGAACAGGACTGTTTTTATAAACGCTTGGAGTACGCTCATTTCAATACATTTCAACTAGATGGTAAAAGGAAGCAGTGAAAACAGTAGATGGGTATATAGGCGCTCGACGAACAAAGCCCATTGTAACATCGCGCCAAATGAGTCGACGTTTAAAAGGAAGCGCCTCGGATGTATCACACTTACGTGTGTTTAAATCGTGGGGTTACGATTATGTCAGGATGCAAAGAAAACAGAGCTCAAACCCAAGACTTTCAAAAAATGTTCTAAGGTAATGCGGATCATGTCAAGGATTATCACGTGTTTGATTTGGTAAATGCTAATCTTAAAGTAACGCGCTTTATGAGGTCAGATGAGCGCGAAAAAAAAGTAGGCGGAAAATACGGCGCGTATGTGCTACAGAGAGAAGCGACAATCAAAGTGATGAAAAAAGTGTTGACTTTTATGTTCAAAGTCAAGTAGATCGACAGCCACACCTATGGAAACTGTCGAAGAACCAGTCACTGACGTCCAAATGAATAAAAGTGATCATGAGCAGCATCAAACATCGATATTAATGCCAAGATGGAAGAACGATCGCATAATTGGATACATATGGGTCTTCGCCAAGAAAGTTAATCAAAATGACAGTGTTATGCGATACAAGGCACGACTTGACGCAAAGGTTTCCATGTAAAAGTTAAAAAAACTTTTTTACGGTCGCCAACATAAATTCGATTCGGATGGTTATGCAGTGTATGCCGAATGCGACTGCCAAATGGAACAGCTAAATGTGATTCTGTTTTCCTGGTTAGTATGCTAACGGATAAATTTGGTTGGAAGCTCCGGTGGGTGTCGACAATGCTCAGCGATACGTTTGTCGATTT